TCCTTGCTGTCCAGCGCTCTGCTGATCCAGCTTTCTGGGACCCAATCTCCGGGACCCAGTCTCTGACCTGATCTCCAACTATTAAGAGAAGACTAGCATATTTATATACCATGGGGGTAGTGGTAAAAGCTTTTAGATACTTTGTGAGATATTCTATTTACATGTGGAAGTGGGTTTCTGCTAGACTATTGTCTACCTGTAAAAACCACACACAGGAAGGCATGGTATGCATAGAGCCAAAGGCCATGTTTATGTCAAGGCATCTGTGGCGGCCACTTCAAAGGGAGAGACAGGAAAGATGCCAGAAAGCACCTTGCTATGAAAAGGAGCCCGCGGCACATTCCCCGAGCTGCATGAGCTGTCCAGTGTGAAGGGGCTTCGACTTTTGCATAACAGAGGTCTCCCAACAATATACTTGTGTTTTCAGTATGGTTATTGATGGAATACAGGAATACTTCTGAGTTTTGTAGGTTGATCTATGTCCAGGAAGCTTGCTTACCTCTCTTACTAGTTCTAAAGTGTGAATGTTCTAGTGTCATTTCTGTTGCTCTGATAAAACTCTCTGACCAAAAGCAACTTATGAGAGGAAAGGGTTTATTTCATTTTACAGATTACAGTCTATCATTGAGGAAAGTCAGAGTAGGAACTCAAGCAGGAACTTGAAGCAGAAACCATGGAGGAATGCTGCTTGCTGGCTCATTTGCAGGCCTATGCTTAGCTCGCTTTCTTATATAGCCCAGGATCACCTGCCTAGGTGATGGTGCTACCTACAGTGGGATGGGCCCTTGTGCATCAATCAACAATCAAGACAGTGGTTGTCCATCAGTCTTCCCCTCCCACCTCCACCTACAGATATATCCCCAGGCCAATCTGATCTGGGCCATCCTTCAGTTGAGACTCCTTTCTGATTTAGGAAATAAATTGAGGCTCCCTTCTCAAGTGATTCTAGGGTATGTCAAGTTGACAGTTAAAGCTAACTAGAACAGTACACTGTGTTGGTTTGTTTTTTCTATGATGATAATCTTATTAACTGCTAATGGTGACAAGGCCCTGTTACCTACCAGCTACCTATCAATCTAAGGAATTCTATATAGTAAGATGCCCTGGGCCCTCAGAAAATCTCAGTCTTTTTTTTTTTTTTTTTTTTTTGGCTTGATTCCTGCAGATGCTGGGATGTGCAAAGTGGGGTTTGTATAAGAATATTCTATGGCCACCAGGGAACAATCACTTGCCTGGATTTATATAAGCACAGATTTGTATCTGGAGCAAAAGATGGACAGGTGAAAGGTGAGAAAACTAGTTTTGTTTTGTGTCCCCCCTGCCCCCGCCCCTATCATAGACAGGATCTTGTGATGCACCCCAGGCTAACCTGAACTCATGATCCCCCTATCTCAGCCTCCGGGCTTCTGGAAATTCAAGCATGTGCCACCTCAGCATGTGCTTCACTAACTTCTGTAAGTAGTCTTTATTCCCTTATTTGTCCATCCATCCATATATCGATCTACCTATGTATCTCTCTATGTCTCTGTCAATCCATCCATGCAACAGTCATTTGAATACCTGAATAACTACTGTATGCTAGACATTACACCATATGCTGGTAAGAAAAAAATGGATATGATATGATCCTTTCTATATAAATTTTTATTTTCTCAAAAGGCTCAAAGACCTTTAAGAAAAGCAGATATGTAACTATATAATAGGAGATACAGTAAATATGTGAATAATAGCAGCTACCATTTATTATCAATTAAAAATATTTTATTATTTTAACTTTTTATGTGTATGAGTGTATTGCTGGCATGTGTGTTAAGTGTATCCATGTCATGCAATACCTGCAGAGGTCAGAAAAGGCCACTAGAATCCCCTGGAACTGGAGTTATGAACAGTTGTTAGCTGCAGTGTGGGTATTGGGAATTGAACCTAGGTCCTCTGCAGGAGCAACCAGTGCTCTTAACTGCTGAGCCATCTCTCTAGTCCCTTAAGTACCAATTTTGTGACAGGTACTGTGATAGGTGTTTTATATAATGTCTTATTTAATCCTTAAAAGAACCTCATGAAGTAAATGCAAATGAAAAATATCAAACTGCCTTAGTTTTTTTGTTTGTTTGTTTGTTTTGTTTTTCCTTTTTCCTGTAATAAAAATGCCCTAACAAAAGTGATTCAAAGGAGAAAAGGTTTGCTTTGGCTCACAGTCCATCAAAGCAGGAAGATTAAGTGGCAGGGGCTTGAGGAATCTAGTCATATCACACCAACAATCAGAGAGCAATGAATGCATGCACACTAGTGCTCATTTCGCTTCTCCAATCTTATACAGTCCTGAATCCCCTGCCTAGGGAATGATGCCACCCACAGTGGGAGGCTCATCCCACCTGAATTAGCATAATCAAGATAATCCTTCCACAGATATGCACAGAGGCCCATCTTCCAGACAATTTTAGATTTTGAGTTGACAGGTCACACTAACCACCACAACAACTGAGACAGAAAAGTAGCATACTCCAAATCAGAGCTACTAAGGGTAAAGGAAAGACTCAAACCCAAGACTGTCTGGCTCTTAGTCATGTGCTCCTAACTTCATGCAGATTTCTAAGGGACCATAGAAATAGGAATGAATTAGGAAAATCTCCATGGGCAGGATGCCATTTAAGTGAGATCTTAAGCATTAGTTTTACAGGCAGAGAGTGTAAGATATTCCAAGCAGAGTGAACAGGATATGCAGATACATAGAAGGATGAAGTAGATTATGTGTGAGAGACTTCCCATTGTTTGGTGTGGCTGGACCACTGTGTGTTTTTGGATGTTAGGTTGCTAAGCTTGTTTGGGATCACAAAGTGCTTTCTACATCATGGTGCAAAACAACCTTAAGGGGCTGGAGAGATGGCTCACTGGTTAAGCGCACTGGCTGTTGTTGCAGAAGACTAGGGTTCAAATTCAGGCACTCACATGGTGGCTAACAACCATCTGTAACTCCAGTTCCAGGGGATCCAATACCCTCTTCTGACCTCCACAGTCAATGTGTAACACAGGTACACGTACATACATGCAGACAATACACTCATACACATAAATAATAAAAAAATAATAAACAAAATATTAAAATACCTGAACCTTAAGAACCACAGAGGTGTTTTCAATTTGGATCTGACATGACTAATGTGTATTTTAGAAGACAACGCAAATGAAAGTTAGGAAGAAGAATTTGGAAGAGAGTGATTAGGTGGAGTTAGGGAAGCAGTTAAAACACTTTGTAATCTAGAGACCCACCTGACCTAGGGATCCAGATAATGTGGACGTGGTAGGGAGCAATTTCACTCGGCCTCCTGTATGATGCCAGGAGCCCCTTCTATGGATCCAAAAATCTGAGGATGCACACACCCCTTATTTAAAATGGCACAGTATTTGTATATAACTTCCATACATCCTCTTGCATGCTTTAAATCACCCATAGATGATTTGTAACATGCAAGAGAATGTCAGTGCCACATAAATCATTGTTATACAATGTCAGTTAGGTAATAAGTCTATAGAAACATCTACACATGCATACAGCATGCATGTATACAGTACAGATACAATTTTTGCTACCTAATATTTTGATTTGTGGTTGGCTAAACCTGAGGGTGTGGAGCCCATGACTATGGTGGGCTGACTGCATAATGAAAGATGCAAAACCTAAGTGTGGGTGAAATTCCCCCAGAAAAGCAGGAGAAAAGATTGAAGAAGAGAAGCCAGGGACCTGGGGAGTCACTGCATGTCAGGACAAGTGGAGGAAAAAGACAGTGGGTAAAGGACAGGGAGTGAGGTTACACTGCCAGCCCTTGGACCCCATGAAGGAAGGAGGCAGCTCCCCGCTGCCTTACCCTCCTCCTCAGACTGAATATCATTGCTACCATTGCTTTTAGAGTGCTTCCAAGTGAGGGTTTGAGATGGAAGAGCAGCCCTAGCCTCCAAGTCAGCCAGAGTCTTGGTCTCCAAGGCCCCCAGTGGGAGCATTCTGAGTAGGTGCAGGGACTGAGGCTCATCCTCCAGCATCATGATCCGTGATGTCATGTGGCTTGTGAGGGGAACTGCGTGCTGAATCATCAGAGCACCGCTAGTGGGGGCAGGACCAGGGAGAGGGGAGCTGGACCCTCACCTTCGGTGTAAAATTTAAGGGGCACCTAAAACAGCTCGGTTATCACGATACATATCTAAGTGCAGCATTTTAAAAGGCTAAATTAAGGCACAAAATCCATGATTAGCAAAATATCACTTGCATCCACACATAAAATAAAAATAAAATGTTTTTAAAAAGGAAAAAAAAAAAAAAAGAGCACTTTATCAATGGATTTTTAACTGTTTGATTTTCTCAGTGGTAATTTTATAAATGGGACAGGATGTACACATAAGAGTGAGTGAAGGAAATCATACTTACAGAATAATGATTCTCCTCTCATATATGCTCAGTGGATCTAGAGGCCCCAGACTCCTTGGGTTCAATCCCCAGGACTTCTACTTATTCCTTTGTATACCTGACTGAGCACGTTAGTAAACTCTGCCTCAGCTTCCTGGCCTGCACAGTGGGGAGCAGGAACAGTACCTGCCTGGTCAAGGTGAGTGAACACAGGCCAGACGCTTGGGTTCCTTGTTGGTTGTTAGTGCTTTGCAAATTTCAGCTATGGCCATTGTTTTGTCTTATGCCACTTGTTCTGTGACTTGTCACAAAGCAATAGTAACAAAGGTCCTTTGATGGGGAGACAGGGGCCATTATGAGGTAGGATTTTAACATTCATCCTGGAATTTGTGATCCCCACTCAAAGCTTCTTCCCTGTTTGCTTGCTGACATACCCATCTTCTCTTGCTAGAAACTCACTAGAGTAACTATTCTAATAGTTTATGGAAAGGCAGCATCAAGGGTGGGTTTTACCCTTTTCTATGAAGATTACAACATAAGAATCCCAAAATCAGAATCAGAAACATTTAGAAAGGACAGACAGCTCACCTTCTGTTGATCATAGGTGTGGGTGGGAAGAGCACATCTGGGAAGGCTCATGATTTTCATGAAACATACTCAGTAGCAAGCCTACTTCAGACTTATTGGACATGAGTCATGTGTCTCTGATGCTTGGGTCCCAAGGCCGAGTTCCAAGGTCAGAGTCAAGTTCCTCTTATTGCTGGCTTTCCTAAGGGTTTATTTCAGGTACCTCTGAGTCACAGGTATGTGGAGCTGTTGGTGAGCTTGGAGGGGTACCAGCCTGGTGAAGGTTTCTGAGAAGATTCAGTGGGTTCAGTTTTGCTTTGTGGTGGAGAGCAAAATTCCACAGTAACCCCCTGCCCTCCCTCTTCCCTGGCCTCTCTCCCTCTCCCCTTCAGAATGGGACATAGACACAGGGAAGTGCCTGAAGATCTTTAAACACAAAGATCCCATCTTGGCCGCCAAGATCAGTGACACCTACATCGTGAGCAGCTGTGAGCAAGGTCTGGTTAAAGTGTGGCACACTGTCACAGCCCAGCTGGTGAAGGTGAGAAGTCAGTAGCTGAGGTGGGGACCCTGGTGATTATTAAAGGACATGGAGGTCTGTCACCTCATGTAGCTCCCCTAGACCATCCTCAAACACGTGAGTTATGGCCACCAATCAGGGCAGCCCAGGAAGCACTTTCAAGGAAAGGATCTCTAAGGGAGGCACTCTGAGTAGGTCAGGTCACAGACTCCATTCCCTCATTATGATCCATATTGTCAAGTCATTGGTGGAAGAAGGCTGCACTGTGACTTAGCACAGTCATGGTATATGAGCCCCAGCACCTTCTAAGAGAGGCAGAGGTAAAGTACCTTTTCATCTTCCAGGATATTCTGGCTTAACCCTAGCTTGTGATCAGGGGATGAGCAAAGGTTTTTTTTCTTCTTCAATAAAATATGTTTTTCTAAGGAAGCCCACCAATTCTTTTAGTAAGGAGAAAACACTGGGTGCTGAAAAAAATAATTTTTGTCCTTATTATCTAATGAGAGAACATTGTTTTGAAAGTGAATAGAAGTTGCCTTGGTCCATTCTTTGATAGATGAGACTGCAGTTTATAAAGAATAGTTTATTTGACTCACAGTTCTGGAGGCTGAGAAGTCTAAGAGCATAGTGCTGGAATCTGATGGATCTTTGTGATGGGCCATGCTATGGTGGAGAGCATCAGATAAGCACTGCTTTTATAACACAGCCACTCCCACGATAACCTGTGACTCCCCGGGGAATCCTTGAGTGAATTAATACATTCCTAAGGTCAGAGTGCTGTAATACAGTCTCCTTCCAGAGGACCTATCATTGACATATGAGTTTGGGGATTAAAATTCTAACACATGGATTCTGTGAAGCCCATCTGAACCATAGTACACGTTCACAAAACATGTTCTTGCTGGCTTTGGACCCTTTGGCATTTGGATGTTAGTAAGATTTTACTTGTGCCAGGAACACAGAACCTCAGTGAGAAGTGGCCACCTTGGCTTGTAGGATATTCCCTACTAGTTCTGTCATTGTGTTTGAGCCTCAGTTGTAGGCACAAGAATGCCCCTCTGCATCCTCTGGGTCCTGGGAAGGAGCCGAGGATAACAGCAGAGATAGGCTTCTCCATGCTCCGGGAAGATGGGGCCCGTCCCAGAGGCAAACCCACCAGGAAGAGAGCCTACTGTAGTCACACTTTTCCTACACTGGGGAGAGAGTTCTGCTGAGAGGGAGGCATGGACTACTTCGGTTTTAGAGCTGAAGTAAATTCAGTTCAGGGTCATGTCAAGTGAGGAGCACTCACAGGGGAGTAGAGTATGGCTTTAGGATTCATCTGAAGAAGGCTACAGCTCCGGCCCATGAAGGAGTCACAGTGAACCGAGGAACATCTGAAAGCGTGGCATCTTTTCTTGCAGACTCTCATGGGGCATGAAGGAGCTGTGAAGTGCCTGTCCTTTGACCAATGGCATCTTGTCTCAGGAGGTGCTGATGGCCTGGTCATGGCCTGGAGCATGTTGGGAAAGTACGAGCGGTGTCTGATGGCCTTTAAGCATCCAAAGTAGGTGTTGGGGGAGCGGGGATGGCAAACGTGGCATTCCCACCTTTCCCTTGCACAGTAGAGTCTTCAGCATGTGGCAGTTGGACCCCCCTGCACCCTGCAGATCTCCTGGCCATCTTCCTCACCCATTTCTGCTCCCTGTCACCCCCATGCCCCATTACTCATTTTCATCACCACCATCTCTTCTCCTCATTCCCTTTCCCACCTTCAACTGTTTTTCTTGAGAAATAATAGCACTGGATATGAATTTTGAGACGTTGTTGAAAAAAATGAAGTAGAGTGAGACTAGGTCCTGGTAGGAAGCCCTGGATTTGAACTTGCTATCTTCACGTTTCAGCTTCCTAAGTACTGGGTTTACAGTGAAGATACTGAAATTTCTACTTGTGGTACATGATAAATTCTTATCTCTTATCTGACATATACTGAAGGAACTATCCCAAATAATGCCAACTCTAAACTTAGAGCTCTTGAATTTGGTTTTTATCCAGGAAACTTGTACTCCCCAAACCATAAAATGATCCATGTGCCAAAGGTTTAAAAATAATGAAAGTCATTTTAAAACTTTGACCTTAGAGGTCTTGTAGACTAGATTCTGTTCCAGGATGGCAAATAGGTTTCATTTCTATTCCAATTCCATTTCCAATTCAGTGCTGATGGCTACTTGGCATCCATTAAGAAGCGTTCTGTGGTCTCAGCTGGACTTGCTTGGAAAGGCTATTGAGGCCAATTAAGGATTCCTCTATGGCCACTATTCCATTCTTAGACTACATGAATTATGCTTTGTAACTTGAGTACATTATAAAAGGTTCCAGGAAACTAAATGCTATATTAAATAATTAAAAGAGTAAGTGGGTTTCCCAGAGGAATCAGTCTGAGGATAGTTGTATAGTTAAGTTAGGCTCTATATTTCCTTAAACTGCCAGAGGAACATTTTTAGCAGGCACTCTGGTCTTGTGAGAGCTATATAGGTGTAAGGTATGGGTATACATGGGTATGCTTTTTGTAGTATGTGACTACATTATCAACTAGTAAGTGTTGGGAAATACCTATGTTCAGTGATTTATCCAACCTGTAGGTAACTAGCAATGAGCCTTTTAATACAACACCTAGACTATCAAGCTTTGATCTCAAGGAGGGAGTTCAACTTATGATATCACCTGAAAAATGTTAATTATATGTTTTAAAAATCTTCTAAGCAGGCTTCTGTAGGGTTTAGTGACTGGAAAATAATCCCCCCTCCCCCAGTAAAGGTGGCAGTTGGTGGTCACCTCATTAACCCATCAGCCTTCCATTGCACCTCCCTGGCAGACCACCTCAGACAACTGCCAGTCTCACTGAATATCACCAACATACCATTCATATTGATTCTTTAAAAAATTTTATGTGTATGAGTGTTTTGCCTGCATGAATATAAATGTACCCATGCATGCAATGCCAGTGAAGGCCAGAGGAGGGGACTGGATCCCTGGGAACTGGAGCTATAGACAGCTGGTCACCTTGTAGGCAGGTGCTGGGATCTGAACCCCAGTCCTCTACAGGAACAGCCAATGCTCTTAATTGCTAAGCCCTCCAGTCCCTCATACTGGTTGTGGACACCTGACACAGACACAGAAAAATGATAGCCATTTGGAGGACACGGCCAATGCCCTTGTTTGTAGGTCCCCACTCCTCTGTAATGGCTAGATATAACTGCTCAAACATGTTTAACCGATTGGCAGCAAGCATTAACTTACTGATTGACTTTCTGGAGAATTCTAAAGGTTGGACTAATACTCATCTTTTGAATATGATAGTTACTGTGTATTGTTTGGAGCAAAACGAACTAGAGAAAGGAGGCTCCATTTTTAATCCAATGTTTTCTCAACTAAAATTGTGATTTTTGCATATAGTGTGGGAAAGAAAGAATATGAAAGAAGAAATCTGAGGGTATAAAGTTGGGTTGGCAGAATGGAGGATCTTTCATACTCTGTGGTGTCTTTTCAAAAACTAATCTTTACTGTCTTTCCCACAGCTTACCTTGTAATTATTTTAGAGTTTATAATTGAGATATAGTTTTCATGACATAAAATCCACATTAGTATACATTAGTTTTTAGTGTATGCCCAATGTTGTATAACCATTATTTTATCATCATCTCCCTCAGAACTTTTCCATCTGTCGACAGAAATGCTATTTCCTTCCTGATGGTTTCTTGAATCTTCTCTCGTTTTCACTTTTTTTTTTTTCAGTGCTGGTGGTTGAATCCAGGACCACACACACTGTACCCCTGAGCCACACCCCTAGCCTTTTCTCACTTATTTTTTTTATTGGTTTAAGTAAAGATTTGTCAATTATCTAGCTAAAGGTTTGTTGATCTTTTCAAAGAATCAACTTCTAGTTTCATTGATTCTCCCCCTGTATTGTTTTTCAGTTCTCTACCTAATCAACTTCTGCGATAAGCTTTATTATTTCTTGCCTTCTACTTTGAGTTTGATAGTTTCATAGTTTTCTTTTTTAAGGTAAAAGGCTAGGTTATTGGTTGGAGAAATGTACACAGCCAGTGATATAAAACTTCCCCTGAGCACTACTGCAGCTGTGTCAGGACATTGGTTTGTTGTTAAGTCAGGGTCTTGTTAAGAAGCTCAAGCTGGCTTCAAACTCAGTCCTCCTGCTTCAGCCTCCCGAGTGCTAGGACTGCAGTTATTCATATGCTATATTTTCATTCACCTGAAAATACTTACTAATTTCCTTTCTATTTTCTTCTTTGACCTGTTTTTGCTCTCACTTCCTGCCTGCACAGAACATCAAGGTTAGCTAAGAATGAGAGCTTAGGCTTTCTCAGATCTTTCCTAAGCATGGGCATTTCCCTGGACATGTGTGTGGATGTTTAGATTCTTGGGGAAATGCCTGAGATTTCAAGACTCCTATGGACATCTCATTCCCTAGCATTTCCTCCAAGGCTTTATAGTTAGCATATCATTTGCCCCAGTGGATTTCTAATACTTCAGATAGCAAGGACTGAAATATTTACCTGTGAATGTTTTCAACCAATGCCCTTCAGGTAGTAGATTTAGCACTGGATGAATTCTTTGTTGGGCAAAATAAAGACAAGCCTTTTGAGACAGTCTTCCAGGAAACTATCAGACAGGCCAAATAAGTCATTATGAATGTAGTCTCTTCTGTTCCCTCTAGTATGGGGAATGTGGCTATTTTTTTTTTTTTAAATATATATAGCTACAACTGAGCTTAGAAGTGAAGAATGGGACTAGGGTCAGTTAACATGCCATAAAATACACTGTTAATACTGAAACTAAGACTTTTTTTTTCCTAAATGCTTCTTGGATTGCTGCAAGCCTTCAGTAATTTGCCAGGGCCCTGAAAAAGTTGATTGTGACAGGTTTTTTCAGTTTTTGTTGCTGTTACAAAAGGACGGAATTTTGTAGTTCCTTACTCACCAGTCTCGCTGACATCACTCCTGGTAGCATCTTTCATAAAGAAAGAACAGAGCAGGTGACGGATGACTATAGCACAGACATAAAATCTGGAAGGAGACTGGGTGTTTCCAGGACCAATAACCTCTATTGTGGCAGGTACTGAACTAAGTTTTGAAAATATCAATGAATGTAATTATGAGAGCAGGCAGCAATTACATGAGGTAGACATTATACTACTCTTTTCCATGGAAGAGAAACTGAAGGAAGACTGGAAAATTGAGTTACTTTCTCAGAGTTGTATAGCAAGTACATGGTAAATTCAGGTTTGTACCAGGTTTTTTGACCCTTAAGTCTATATTTTAATCACTAGGCTATTTTGGTACGGGTTGAACTACCAGATGTCACAGGAACATGGGGCAAAAGTGTAAGCCCAGCTCAGCAAAGTCAAGAAACACACAACACCTTTTATCACAGGTCATTTCCCTCCTAGTGCTGGATTACCTCATGTGCTAAGAAGTGCTTAAGGTAACAACAAAATTGCTGTAATATCATTTTGGATAAATATTTAGAACTTTGTTGGATAGATAATAAACTATCATTTATCATCTATCTGTCATCTATCTCTATCTATCTTTCTATCTTTCTATCATCTGTCTATCTACCATCTATCTGTCATCTATCTGTCATCTGTCTATCTACCATCTATCTGTCATCTATCTGTCATCTGTCTATCTACCATCTATCTATCTATCTATCTATCTATCTATCATCTATCTATCTATCA